CAGTGATTAAATAGTAGTAATAAAATGTTTTTCTAGTTGCTGAAATAGTCTAACTTTGATATTGTAACATTTTTATATATTTAGTTATAGACAAACGTATATAACTGAAATAACAAGCATGCTCAACATGCCCTGGCATTTTTTTTGGAAAGTTGTTTAATTCTACAGATTGATAGAAGCAAGGGTGTCTCTTAAAATTTTAGCATATCTATCACTTTTTCTCTTCTGTGACAGTCTCTTCCTATGGTGCACATTTTGTTAACAATGATCTACTGTTCTGTTTTCAGACTGCATAGCTTCTTTGCCACCTTTACTATATTATATTATTTTTATATACATATACATATCCTGAGTCCATCTTCTGTGCTGGCATCTTCGAAATCTCAATGTTCACAAAAGCATAAGTTAAAGATCCACTGGAATATTGGATCAAAACTTAAGTGAATCAACCTTAAGGAGCCACAGATCTCTGAGTTGCAACTACTGTGATAATTTTTTTAGGCTGTATAAATGTAGAATTTTGTGATGAGGTTGAAGATTCTTTTGGAAACAGATCCATATCTGATCATACACAGCACCCAGAAAAATAGGGATATCTGGAAGTTCTTGGGTGAATGAAGAGGCATAGGAAGCTCAGGATGAGACATTCACATCAGGGATACTATTATCCTAAAGAATATTGTGTAAGCTTGCGACATACTCTCTGGCCTTGAAAAATAGTTATAGGACTACTTTCAAAGTTGCCAGTACAAGTCAAATTTGGAACAAATTGGAAGGACAGTGGGATTCTGCTCTACCTGCTCCCACAACTGCATGGGTACTGAAGTATTTTCCTGTTGTCTAGTGGGCCACCACATAAAAAGTTGATACCTTCTTTATGTGGAAATTCATATTGCTGCACTGATCAAAAAGATGTTTTAGAAAGAATAATATAACCTCAGCCTGTTTCTAAGCATGGCATTTCCTACTGGGAGGTAAATAAAATATTATTAGGAGAGACTAGGAATTATATGGAAAGTAGCAGACAGGACTAAGTTTATTATTAATGGAAAAAAATTATATTTCATTGCCAGCATAGGTATTATGCATACCTTTCCAGATAGTTAATGAGCATTGGGTAAGCATAATTGGAAGCAACTAAATTTAAATGCAGGATCTGAACTGCTTTTTTATTCTGAAAACAAATGAGAACTTTAAATCTAACATACGCATGCATACCAGGCTTACATTTATTCAGCAGAGGCAATCTGCACTTGCTTAACCACAGATGGATATAAAGAAGATACTATTCATCTGAAACAATGATCCTTTTCCTCATCATAGCTGCCATGTGATGTACATGTCCCATTTAAGTGGAATGATCTTCACTCTGTTATAAAAGATTCATTAAAATTTTTCAGGCAACTTGCAATTAAAAATGTTTCACAATATACCTTATGGATTAAAAGTTTTTTTGGTTTGATTTGGTTTTTCATCATTTTTTAACTGAGTCTGCTTTTACATGCATGCATATTTTTTCTAATATCAGCCTTATATATTTATTCTGATTTTTAATATCCTGATTTAAAACCACATTTTGATACAGTGCTTTGTGTGTGGTATAAATCAGAGTTAAACACCTCTAATTTATACATTTGTAAAAATTTGAAGCAGTTTTATTTGGATTTACACATGAAAATGGTCACAAAAATATCTGATGATCGCTTGGTTTAGGTAGGTGTGTTAATTTATATGGAAAAAAAAATTATAATGGATAAGAAAAAAGGAGAAACCAAGAAGAATATTTTCATAAAGCAGCATGGAATATCCATACCACTTTTGTATTAATTTTCAAAATTATTTTGCTCTCAAAAATTACTCTTGATCTGATGTTAGTATCAGAGAAGCCAGTGTATTCCAGCTGTCCTGTTGGGGATACCAGACAAAGCTAGTTGTAAGCGACTATCTAATTCCTGAGGCTCCATATGAGTTGTGTGGTTTCATGCCAGTGGTGATTGAGCCTTCTTATTCTCTGGAATGCATTCCATCAACTTCTGACCATGAATCAGAACTAATTTCTGCATGTCCAGCAGCCAAGACTGTGGAATATCGGGTAAGTCTGGACACGACTGTTGTTGTACATCAGACTTGAGGTTTTGATACTTCCTTTCCCTCCATCCTCATGGAGCTGGCTATTTAAAGCCAAAAACTAATTTTTCCTTTCCTTTATGGGAAGCAGTCTGTTATGCCTGCTTCAAAAATGCTTGCGGCACTAGTGTTCACTAGGATTTAATTAAAAACATTAATTGTTATTTTAAAGAACACACAGAGTAAGATGGTTGCAAATCTCAGCTCTTATACACCGTTTTCCTTATTTTACATTGTAATTCAGTGATTAAAAAGATCCAAGAATGTAGCTCAATTCCTTCTGTCTGAGAAAACAAACCCATGTAACCTGTTTTGGGACAGTAGCAGGGGAGTTAGACCAGATGATCTCTAGAGGTCCCTTCCAACTCTGACAATCCCATGATTCCGTGACTCCGTCATTCCAATGCAAAATGTGACAAGCACTAAAGAGGCCAAAGAATTCCTTATCCCTGGTCATTACTGGGAGCCTTTGACAAAGGGCTGTTGTGCAAGCAGTTTTGGGACAAAATGCGTTTAAAAGGAAGCTTTTATTCACCATTTGCCTAGCCAGCCGATTGTAAGATAATTTCATGTCATTATGCTGAGAGTTTCTCTCACCTTTCTCAAATTCTATACCTCCCCCAATTAATTTTGTATATAGTCAACTCAGCCCATATAGAGCTCTGGACTAGGATCAGGTATATAGAAGTCAGTGTTGTCAGTGTTGTTGCACTTGATATTACAAGACAGAAGTTGCTCTACTGATCTGTATCTAAAGCATTTTCTGCGACCTAGGTTCCTGTGAAGGTTCTGAAGATACATATTGACACACAGAGAGTGGTCTGGGGGACATAAATTCTACACATCCTAGTGGCTAATATTTTGCAGCTTACAACAGAAAATGAGTTCCAAATTATTTCCATCCTCTTACCTCCTGTGGATTCAATGAGGATGTAAACGATGTATTGATTTAGGATTGTCTCAGGAGAGAGGAAAAAATGTTTACCATGAGTTCTGGGTATCCTCTGAGAATTTTCATTTCAGTTGATTCAGCTTGATTTGGAGCAGGTATAGCTCCAAAAGGAAACAGAATGAGATCAGATACAGAATAGTATTTAGTAGCTTTTTTTTATTTCAAAAAAAAAAAAAAAAAAAGAGTTTGGCAAGAAAAAACCACAGGTAGTGAAACAAATTAAATTCATTTCTGTTACAGGCCCTCAGAAAGCTCAAAATGTGTAGGCTTAAACCATATGAACAGCATCTCTGGTAACTGTCTCTGCTTCCCAGAGAAAACTAGGCAGATCATATTAAACATCAATTTATTCTTCATAAGCCACTAATAGTTATCAGATGGAGGTGCCTAAAAATCTGTCATGATTAAAAAAACAGGTGTCCTGGAAATGAAAGTGTCCAAACATACACAGTACTTAAAAGAAATGCATCTAACAACAGATAATACAGAAGACATGAGTGTCACTGCACGTAGATTTATTCCTCCCATAATATGGATAGACCGAATGAGCTTTTTTAACACAGTTACCGTCTCTGAGTTACTATGAATTTATAATGCTGCTTCTAAACATTTATATTTGTCTACACTAAAGATGCAATGATTTATTAACATGGTAATAAATGTTTAATACTTCTTGTCTGTATCATTTTGTAAAACTATCTCCTTAACCTCCTCATTTTTGAAAGTATAAGAGGAAAAACACTAAACTAAAACAATGTTGCTTTAAATACGGGTGTGTTTATGTGCAGAACTTTTTAAATGTCACATTTCTTATTTATAACTTCTGATTTTGTAGGTAACTGAGATGTTCAAGACACAAGGCAGAATCTCATATTTGGTTTAATGTGTTGTGACTTATCACTCAGGTGGAATACTTTTTTTTAAACAAATGGTCATATAGCAACTATAGTGGAATTTTATATTTAAAAATATAAAAAATTAAAATAATGAAATTGGTTTAGAAATCAAGCAATATTTTAAAAATATCTTAGGTCTTATTTTTTCTCCCCTTCTGTTCAACTGTAATTCACATCTTTCACTTTTATAGGTCTTTTCTTCACATCTGTCAGTGTTAAGTATATTCTTTTACTTTTCAAATGAGCTGAGATTAAAACTGCTAAGGAAAGACATCAACGGATGGCGAACATTGAATACCCAAACCTACTTGCACAATTATTCAAAGTCTATGAACTTTAGATGGCATGTTGGAAACTTATGGTTGGACAGGATACGCATACTTCTGGCTTTCTATATAAATTGGAATTTCATTTCCAGAGCACCACCTGTTCCAAATGATGCAAAGCAATTTTCCTGAAGACTGATGAAACTTTCTTAACATTTCCAAAAGCAGATAATATTCAGCCATAAAACAGTGTGTTCAGAAGAAACCAAGGTCTAGGTGGTTAACAGAAGCATTTGTCTGCCACATGAAATTTAATGAGATAGGTACTCTTGAAATGCACCAGAAATCAAATCAGGTACTGCAGTTAGTGGCATTTTGTAACATCATGAAAAAGTTTATGTATGAGCCTTGTAAATTAGATTTTATCTTTTATTCATGGCAAATTTTATCTGTAGACAATATCAGGTTAACAGTATTTACAAAGTGTTAAAAAGATGTAACATTTTAATACAGCAATTGATAAAACACAGATAAAAAAGAAAGAAATGAAGACAAATAAAGAAGCTTAATTCAAATTTTTTCCAGCTATCCATTCTTTGATTGCCACTGTAATGCCAAAGCTTTCTTGCAGCTGTAGACATGACCAACTTTTGAACAACTTTCTAAGTTAATACTTGGATGAGTGACTTCTGTACATGTTCTTTTCCCTGTTGTCATTTAAAGACAGTAATATCATTCTTTTTGATTTCTCCTCTCCAGCAATGACAATGCAGTTCATAAGCCATCGGTTCCCTGACTATCATGATCCAACTATAGGTGAGTAGAAACTATTGTCTTTAATTCCCTTTCAGTCTCTGCTTATTCAGTATTGTCATACAGCGAGAAGCTGCTCCTAGATAGCACTTAGACACGAGATTTCTCAACTTTAGATTCAAACTTAAGTTTGTGATGACAATGAAATTGTATCATGGTCATACCATAATTTTTTTTTCCTGAAATACTTAGTACAAAATCTGTCAACAACAAATTTGTAGCTTTGTGCTTTTTAACTATTAATGGCTTGTGCATTTATAACCACAGAAACAAAAAAATATCTTATGAGATAAAAAGCAATCTTTCAAAATACTAAAATAATGTAGAAGTTCCAGTTTGGAGTGTGTTTTTAAAGGTTTTGTTATTTTAGTACTCTTTCCTGCTTTTGAAATCTTAGTTGACCTTCTCTAGAAAAACCAAGTGGCTAGTGAATTTCATATACTGGAGTTGTGCGCTGGTATCACATACTCTGCTAAGCCCAGTGGACTTTCCTGAATTATAAACCTAAGTAATGATAAATATTCAGATATATCTGCAATACCCTGAAAGTCATCATCTTTAGATGCTGACCTTTGCATGATGATATGGCTGGAGTACCATGGAACAATGAGCTGGAAGAGAGATTTGGAATGAATTCTGGTTGACTGAACTGAATATCTGTTTCTAAAGCAGTTAATTCAAAATGGCTGTGGCAAAAATTGTGTCTCATTAAAACATTTGGAATGTTTCTCCTCTTTCTAAGTTGGGTATAAATTTGGAAGATATTTACAGGGTATAAACCCAAGTAATTTAATGCCTTGAACTGCCCTGGTTCCTATTGTGGTACTGGGTGTCATCTGCTTACATTCTGCTGGGTACCTGGTGGACATCAACTTGAGCATGAGCCAGCAGTGTGCCCTTGCAGCAAAGAAGGGTCATGGTATCCTGCACTACATTAGGAGAAGTGTTGGCAGGAGGTTGAGGGAGGTGATGCTTCCCCTCTGCTCAATACTGCTGAGGCCCCACCCAGAATACTGTGTCCAGTTCTGGGCTCCCCAGTATTGGAGAGCTTTGGCATAGGTTTCCCAGAGAGGTTGTAGAGTCTCCATCCTTGGAGATACTCAAAACTGTATAGACATAGTCCTGGGCAGACTGTTCTCGGAAGCCCTGCTAAGGCAGGCATTTAGGATAGGTGGCCTAAAGAGGTCCTTGACAGCCTCAAACATTCTATGACTCTATGACGTCAGGAAAGGTTGTCAAAAGATTAGGGGTTTTTTTCGTATTAATATGAATGAATGTAGTAAAAAATGTATGAAACACAGAGGTAGAAATCAACACAACTGAATGTTTATTCATTTAAGGGTTGCTTTATTAGTTAGTTAAACTTATACTGAAAAGCTCTTGCATTTTTACAGACTATCTATGTGAAATATTTCATTATAGTTAGGGGAAGATGGCAGAAGTTGGGCCTCATAGGTGGGAAGCACTAAAAATACTAGTATTTACATAGATTGATTTGGGGAAAAAAAAGGTTTTTTCCAATCTCTTCAGCCAAAACATTTTTTGCTCTCTTTTCAAATTTTATCTTTAAAATTTCAAATATTTCAAACTAAGGTTTAACTTCTATAAAATTACTGCATTGTTAAGTAGGGCAGCTAATGGCAGTATTTCTTTTGATTTGTTATTTCTATAGTTTTCCACATTTCCTGGGTATTAAGTCCTGGTAAATTGTGGTATTTTAATGATACCAAAAAAGACAAAAAAAAAGTATAAACTCTGCATGTCATTAGTAATTTTATAACCATTAAAAATATTACAAAATAAAAATGAGATGTGTCAACTCTAAAACTCTAAAGAAGGTAAAACTACTATGGAATTTCTACAAATTAATTTGTTACACTCAGGAAAAAAATAATCATTAGATCTAATTGGAAAAGAGGACCATTAGTAGTTACTGACACCATTTTATTATGTACATACACCCATCTTTATTATTAGCTATCCACCTGCCATCTGTATTTATCCATATATTGTATCTTGCCATAATCTTAACTTATTGGTCTCTAGACACTACCACAATATGAATAATAGATAATCATAAAGAGAAGGAAAGCTTATGATGCATTATAAGTACATACTGCAGGAATGCCTAGAGGACCTAATCAAGATGAAGGTCTCCTTGAGTAAGAGAGCTTCTGCTCTGTAAAACCAACACTCTAAATAGGAGAAGAAAGAGGGAGATAGAGAACAGAGAAATGAAATGTTGAATTCAAACTCACAAGGCTGGCTAGAAGCAGAACTGCAAGTATGACTCTGTGTTTTATCTGTTCAGCACTTTCGTCTCCCAGAACATGCTGAGAACATCCTAAGAAAGGCTCTAAAACATGTACTAAACTGTAGAGTATAATACTGGGCTAAGTACATACCTCTTGGATAAATATGTGGTATGACCCCTCAAAATTGGACATAAAACCAAAAAACAAATAGAAGGACTTATAGTAACACACAAATACATTAAAAATCTCAGTACATTGAAAAAGTATATACTATTAAGATTGCTATTCCTACTTTTGGGAATCTGTTTTCAAATCACATAATTCATCTCAGTTTTTTTTGTACATCCACTGGCAGGCATATTCTAACTATTTTCCATCAGTCTAATAAAATATTGCAGTTCTAGAGAATTTTCTGGACTGTCAGAAGAAAAGGTGATCCATAGTGTGCATATCCAGGACCAAGGGTGTGCTGATACCAGGAGCTACCAGAGGGGACGTTATTCCTTGAAGATTGCAAGGAGCGAGCCACAAATAGATGCTTTGTGTCACGAGGGAGTTAAGCATGTTGGGGCAGAAAAGTGCACAGTCTAGCTGGAGTTTTGTTTCTTAGAGAAACCCAGCAGCAAATGATGAGGACAGAAAGAAACAGGCCACATAACAAATGTACTTTCACTCTGGCAGACTGGCAACACAGAAAATTGAACACAGGTTTTTCAGCTATGTCTGAGATCACTGATCTCTCTGCATCTCAATAGTCTGGTTCTTTTGGTATAATGAATACCTTTTATGTCCTGGCCTATTTCTTCCTCCATAGAAGTACATCCGTGGGCAGTTGACTTTTGAAGGTTTTTTAGAAGATTTTTTTTCTTCTTCTTTATTTCATTTTATCTGTAAATTTATTTTATTTTATTTTATTTTATTTTTTATTTCTATTTTATTTTAATTTATTTTATTTATTTTATTTTATCTGTAAATTCGTAAGACTATGAGCTGTAAGAGGAGTCAAAAGATGAGCATGTATTTCTGTTTTATCTAGTCCAACAAGAAGCTACAATGAAAATTACTTACTGTTATTGACCAGAGAATACAGAGGAGTCATTTCACTTAAATATGCCATCAAATGTGCTTCCCCTTCCCATTCCTCCTTCCCTCCAACACACAGTTAGGAATTTATCCTAAACATTGTGTATTAATAATCATGTAGCTTTAAAATATCAGAGGCACTATTTTTCCCTCTTTTGTGACAGTCCCTAGGAATATGGACTTTCCCTGTCATTCCTTCTCATTGTGATTCAACACTATTTTACCAATGCATCAGTTTTCTATTTCTACAGTGACTCATCTCTAGCAATACATTAGAAATATACAAGTCAAATATAATGGTGCTTTGTACTTATATTTTTTTTTTCCGTTATCCACTGACATTTTTGAAATATTACAAAAGATCTCGATCACAGAAAGCTGATGCTACTGTGAGATGATGCAGAATTTTTGTTAAAAGGATATTTCAGTTGCTGCATTATGTGATACTTGTGCTCATAGATTTGTATATCATGCATACATAGATTTCAAATGTGCTAATTTTGATCCTAAAAAAGATATGTGAATAGACTTAGAATTATATACATGTTTTCTTAACTGTGTTTATAATTTACAGAAGGAATACCTATACTTTTGAAGAATTTACTGGATACTGTGATGGATAGTCTAACACTTTTTTTTAAGTCCAGGACTTTTAAAAAGACTAATATGGATTTATTTGAGGGAAGAGGCTGCTTTTTGTTCTGTGGTTTTTGGTTGATTTTTTTTTTTGTAAGTGGTGTATTTTTTTTCCAATAGGAATTCATTCAGAGCAGTCCTCTGTACAGTGTGGAGAAGACATATGGTGTCAAAATAAATAATGACAATAAATGGTCCCTTCTGATGTATGAAACTGTTTTTTATTTTAGTTGGATGTCTTAGTTTGAAAAAACAGATAAGGTCTTGATAAACTCAAATTGCAGACTATACAGATATAAATAAATGTATGTACACATAAATACACAAATAGATGTGTCAGTATTTGTTTAAAATATAAACATTGATTAAAAAATTAAATGATATCTGAAGTGCTAATTTTAATGCTGTCACTTTGAGTGTAATGAAATTTCAAGATAAAGTGGGAATAATGACTGAATTTGAGGGTTAAAACATTGCGGTTCTGAATTTTAAGACAGAAACATATTAATTTTGGAAGTAAATGGGGAGGAGAAGGACAAAATTCTTTTAGTAGTAGACCATACGTGGGTAAATTTCAGAGGTTAGCACTTCATGAAAATGAAATTATTTCAGTGCACGTTTAATATTTAATTGTAGTCAACAATGGGAACAATTTCCAAGCGGCAGTGGATGTGATCATTTTCTGGAACAAATGGATAAAAGCAATTTACACTCTGTACAGTCTTTGGCAATATCACAGAGAGTTAATGCAAGTAGAGTGGCAGGAAAGGAAGCATGACATAGTGTAGCAAACTGGACAGCCTCCAAGACGCTCATTAGCCATGTGACTAATCTTAAAATGAATGTATAATGCAAACGAGATGCGAAAGCAGCTTCCTGTTTTGGTGAGATATCACTGCATGAGATTGTGTCAAATGAGCAGTTGAGAGCATTAAGATTGTGTCAATGTCACACTTTAATTGAAATGGGTGTGGGATGGGAGGCACTTTAGCATTAAGCACATGAATTTCCATGAGGTTTCCTAATGAA